GCCACACCCACCCAATGGGCCACATCCACCCGGCACCCGATGATGCATAAGTGGGTTTTGGGTTGAAGTTTGGGCACTCAGTCTCTAAAAGGTTCGCCATCACTGATACCATTTCAGACAAATGGTTTTCCAGTCTCTTTTTGGAAGCCTCCAGTGATGGAGCACTCACAACTTCTGAAGGAAAGGTATTACATTAGTTGCTTGATCTCACCGCTAGAAATTTTCTCTTTAGTTCTAGGTTGCTTCCCTCCTTGGCTAGTTTCCATCCATTGCTTCTTGTCCTGCCTTCAGGTGCTTTGGAGAATAGCTTGACTCCCTTTTCTCTGTGGCAGCCCAAGATATTGGAACACGGCTATCATGTCCCCCCTTGTCCTTCTCTTCATTAAACTAGACATACCCAATTCCTGCAAGTGTTCTTCATATATTTTAGCCTCCAATCCCCTAATCATCTTTGTTGCTCTACTTTACATTCTTTCTAAACTTCTTTTTCACATCATGGCGACCAAAACTGGATGCAGTATTCCAAGTGTGGCCTTAAAGCCATTATAAAGTGGTATCAACACTTCACGTGATCTTGATTCTATCCCTCTGTTAATGCAGCCTAGAGCTGTGTTGTCTTTTTTGGCAGCTGCAGCACACGGCTGGCTCATTTTTAAATGATTGTCCATTAGGACTCCAAGATCCCTTTCACAGTTACTACTATTGAGCAAGGTACCCCCTACTATATCTGTGCATTTGGTTTTTCTTGCCTAAATGTAGATCCTTACTTTTTTCACCACTGAATTTCATTTTGTTAGATAGAGCCCAATGTTCAAGTCTGTCCAGATCCACCTGTATCCTAAGCCTGTCTTCTGGAGTGTTGGTTATTCCTGCCAGCTTGGTATCATTTGCAAATTTGATGAGTTCCCCATCTATCCCCTCATCCAAATCGTTGATGAAGATGTTGATGAAGATGTTGAAGAGCACTGGGCCCAGAACAGAGCCCTGGGGCACTCCACTAGACACTTCCTCCATGTAGATGCAGTTCCATTGAGGATCACATATTGAGTGTGGTTGGTCAGCCAATTACAAATCCATCTGGTGGTGATGCTGTCTAACCCACATTTTTCTATCTTGTCAAGTAGTAGGTTGTGATCTACTTTATCAAATGCCTCTCAGGTTGGCTGCTCACATCTCAGTCTCCCAAGCAAAAGTACTATGTGAGTTCACAGGTATAGAATAGGTGGCACCTGGCTCAACCGCAGTAACTGATCTAGGAATCCTAGTGGACAATCACTTAAATCTGAGCCAGCTGCCAAAAAAGCCAATGCAGTCCTAAGCTACATCAGCAGATAGTATCAAGATCACATGAACTATTAGCATCATTATATACTGCTTACAGAGTGACTTACAACTAATCCTTGCATGACCGCTGCAGCATCCCCATGGCCACATGATCAAAATTTGGCAACTGGTGTGTATTTATGACAGTTGTACCATCCTGGGGTCATGTGATTGTCCTTTGCGATCTTCCCAGCCGACTTCTGTCAAGTCAATGGGGGAAGCCAGATTCTCTAAACGAGAGGTCCTCAACCTTTTGGGCACCAGGGACCGGTTGCGTGGAGAGAGGTTTTTCCATGGACCGGAGGGTGTGTGGTTTTGTGTGCTGCCTGCATCCTGCGGATGGGGCTTTGCTTGTTTGTGCGGACCGGTTGCTGGCATGCCGTGGACCGGGACCGGTCCACAGACCAGGGCTTGGGGACCCCTGCCCTAAACAACCAGATGATTGACTTAACTCAATGATTCATTTAACAACCATGGCAGAAAAAGTCATAAAATCAGATGCAGCTCCCTCCCTTAACAACTGCCTAGCTGAGCAATGGAAATTCTGGTCCCTTTGTGGTCATAACTCGAGGACTACCTGCACTGAGGCAGAAGAGTATTGGGGGCAAGGGGACAAACAAAGTTTGTTCCCCAAAGAAATACTCGGGAGGCTTCTAAGACCCACTGTTTGTTGAAGGAGATGTCAGGAATGGCGCCAGGAAAGCAATGGGACTGCCCCCCAACCTCTCTAATGTCCTTTGATGCTGCACCCTTCAGGATCAGCAGCTGTTCTACCCCTTCCCAAGTTTCCAGAATTCCTAATATATCACAAAGAGCACTGAGCATGCAGACTGATACAGCCTCGGGGTCTTTTCCACACTAAACGGCCCCAGGAAATCGGCTTCTTTCTTCGCACAGCATCTTATAGCAATTGCATGTCACACCTACTCACTTTTCTACACCGAACTCCATGCCCAGCTGTGGGAGTACGTGGGCCAGCTCAAGTCATCCAAACAGCTCCAAGTATTATAATTTCACGGATTGGCTGCCTCTGATGCTTGGGTAGGGCGTTAGAATGTAAAACCCAGGCAAAACCACATGCATGAAGAAGTAAAGGTTTGATCCATTTGATTATTTCAAATACCAAGTCATATACTGAAGCAGAAGTGGGCATTTTACAGTCCCTGGGCTAAAACATATAAGGAACGGTTACTAGACTTGGGTATGTCTAGTTTAACGAAGAGAAGGACAAGGGGGGACATGATAGCAGTATTCCAATATCTCAGGGGCTGCCATAAAGAAGAGGGAATCAAGCTATTTTCCAAAGCACCTGAAGGCAGGACAAGAAGCAACGGGTGGAAACTAATCAAGGAGAGAAGCAACCTAGAACTAAGGAGAAACTTCCTGACAGTGAGAACAATTAATCAGTGGAACAGCCTGCCTCCAGAAGCAGTAAATGCTCCAACACTGGAAGTTTTTAAGAAGAGACTGGACAGCCATTTGTCCGAGATGGTGTAGGGTTTCCTGCCTGAGCAGGGGGTTGGACTAGATGACCTCCAAGGTCCCTTCCAACTTTACTACTATTACTATATCTGTCCCTTTGGCTGTTCCTGTCCAAGCCTGTGTGAATTGCTTTTATACTGAAAGCAATTTCTATTTTTTTTCAATTTACGTATGTGCATGCATGCATGTTCACACCCATTCACAGCCCTATTGGTTTGGCCCTCGACTACAATTCCAGTTTCTCACGTGGCCCCGTTGGGGAAATTAATTGCCCACCCCTGCATTGAAGAGATGTCCCCCTTGCATGCAGGACTTGAGGTAATTTGTTCAAGTATGCCTTTGCAAAATAAAGATAGTAAGCACTTTACATATGGGAGTACTGTAGAACCATTTTGAGATGTGTGGACTTCAACTGCCAGAAAACCCCAGCCAGCAATCAAGAGTCTGTACCAGCGATTCTCAACTTCAGCTAGTTTAAGATCTGTGGCCTTCAACCCCCAGAATAACCCAGCCAGCAATGCTGGCTGAGGTATTCTGGGAGTTGAAGTCCCCACATCTTAAACTGGCTAAGGTTGAAAAACGCTGATAGAGACTCTTGATGGGATGTCCTGGCTGAGATTTACTGCATTCACATCTGTATTCTGCCCAAGGTTGTCTGCAGGGTATGGTCAAAAAAGTCAAGATGGTGTTTGCAACTGAGGTTCCACTTATTTTTAAATGTGACCCCTCCACTTTCTTTGAATACTTGAACACAGCAAAGAAGATCATCCTCTTAAGTGTTTTATCTATCTGCCTGGGGTTGAGATTGAGGATTTAATGTGAAATTTCAACGGCCCTCTGCTCTCTTCCCCAACTATGGGGATGGATCCAAAAGCTTTCCCTGCTGTTGTGACTTTTAAGGGGATGCCCAAAGGGAAGAATTTGAAATCCACGGAAGGTAATCATTGTCCCTGTAATTTAGCTTATTTTTAACTGAATTTAAATGAAACTGAATTGATGTGTCTAAAAGAACAGGTGGGGCTCAGGCCGAAACTGCTATGTTTATTTTTTGACATTTCCCCCCTCCCCGCCATTCTTCTACCTGCTTGAAGAAGATAATCAAGTAATGATTTTTCAGAGTTAATGAGCATTAATTCATCCCCAACATTTATAGAACTCTGCCTCCCTGAAATTCCAGATTGGTTCCACTGACTGAAGCACATGAGTTTATCAAGGACCGTTCAAAAGACAGAAAACTGAAGCTGGGAATTTTGGAACAAGCAGAATAAAAATAAAGAAACACAAAACCAGACAGCTGCACAGATTTCAAAAATATTTCAACTTGTATTTCTTTTGCATGGGGGCTGCTTCAGCACAACTCCACCTGCCATTGCTAGCAGTATAGTCAGGGGTAGGCAACCTTGGCTCTTTTATGACTCATGGACTTCAACTCCCAGAATTCCTGAGCCAGCATGGCTCAGCTTGGAAACCTCTCCTCTCAGCATAGTTGTCTCAGGAATTCTGAGAGTTGAAGTCCACGAGTCACAACTACCCCTGGTATAGGTAGTTCTTTGACTTACAACCATTTAGTGACTCTTCAAATTTAACAACAGCACCGAAAAAAGTGACTTATGACCACTTTTCACACTTACGACCGTTGCAGCATCCCCATGGTCATGAGATCAAAATTTGGACGCTTGGCAAACTGGCTCCTATTTATGACGGCTGCAGTGTCCCTAGGTCACGTGATCACTTTTTGCGACCTTCTGACAAGCAAAGTCAATGGGGAAGCCAGCTTCACTTAACAACTGGGTTACTAACTTAACAACGGCAGGGATTCACTTAACAACAATGCAAGAAAGGTTTAAAATGGGCAAATTCGCTTAATAATTGTCTCACTTAACAACAGAAATTTGGGGCACAATTGTGTCCTAAGTCAAGGACTAACTGTATACCTTTCCAGGAAATGCTACAATTTAGAGTCAAACTCTGCAGGTGGAAGAGAGAGAGAGAGAGAGAGAGAGAGAAGGAGAGAGGGAGAGAGAGAGAGAGATCCTATGCCTCTCTTCTTTTTCTTGAGCAGAAAAGAATCACTGTTCTTTTAAAGAATCATGTGTTTGGGGCTGCCATCACCCTCCTTTTTTTCCACTTTGTAAGCCTCATACAAAGTAATCTGCATCAGAAGGCCACAAAGAGATTTAAATGCCCAACCTCACCTGCCCAGCTCCGGTCCCATGAGATAGAAATCTTGCAAAGCCGATTCTCTCCGGGATCCTTCAATCCAATATTCTCCCTCCAGAGGTTTAGAAGTGAGCATCCTGGAACAGGGAAGATGGATCTGCTTGTGCTTTCTTGTCTTTCTTTTTTTTCTTTTTTCCCTCTTCCTCTTCCTTCTCCTCCTCCTCTTCTGATCACATTGCAGATGGAGAAATAAAAAAAAAAGAGCAAGAGAGAAGGGGGCGGGGTGGGGAGGGCTTTGCAGAAGCAATTTTTAGGATTATCTCAGGAGGATCACAATATCATGCCCAAATCTTATTCTGCTAGAATATACGGTGGGCGCAGATTAATCAGCAGCTTCACACAGGAGGTGCTGGCATAGCCTCAATATTCCCTCAGCTTCCTTTAAAAAAAAGGGATTTTTTAAAAAATCATCGGGGTAAAGATAAGCCCTTGCAGATCAAGATGGCACCACTCCCTCTCCAGATCTTCACCTATTCTTTTTTTTTCTTTCTCAGCAAGTAGCTTCCTTCTTTCCTTTCTCCTCCTTTTGACACTTGGGGCTGCCTTAGAAAACCAACCCTGCAGAGTAGGTCAACTTTCCATCTGCTTCTGTAGAGCCATAATCCACTCTCTTTCCAGCACGGTCTTCCTGAGGGAGGATGGCAGTTATTTCAAGGGAGGCTCACCCCGACAGAAAAAAAAAAACTCTCCTCCTGTTCCAGTGGCTTCCTTCCTTCCTTCCTTCCTTCCTTCCTTCCTTCCTTCCTTCCTTCCTTCCTTCCTTCCTTCCTTCCTTCCTTCCTTCCTCTTTCAATCCTTGCAGGAAGGTGCTGAAGTGGAGAGCTTTGAGAAGTTGGGAACCATCAGCTCCACTTGGAGGATTTCGCTCGCTCGGCTGCAGCCCAAGTGTAAATCCAGTTTAAAGTGACAATCACGGATCTCTGAATCCGATGGATTGGCAGATGCATCGGAGCCCCAGATGCAAGGAAGGCTGGGTCGCCAAAAGAAGTTTTCGCGGTCAAGGCTCAGATCTTTTCCCTGGAGGCTCCTCCATTCTGCAGGTTGATGCTCTGGCGGTGCAGGCAGCACCACACCCGACTGAGAGGAGGTCCCATGACCTCTATTGAGGAAAGTGTGGTTTTTCTGCTCTGCCTTGCAAATCCAGCTCTCTCCTGCCCCCTAACGGATCCTGCTTTTAATTTCAGGAATTGGATATATCTATCTAGTTCAGGGGTCATCAAACTTGGCCCTTTTAGGACTTGTGGACTTCAACTCCCAGCCAGCTATGCTGGCTGAGGAATTCTGGGAGTTGAAGTCCACAAGTCCTAAAAGGGCCAAGTTTGATGACCCCTGGTCTAGTTTAATGAAAAGAAGGATTAGGGTGACATGATAGCAGTCTTCCAATATTTGAGGGGCTGCCACAAAGACGAGGGGGGTCAACCTATTCTCCAAAGCACCCGAACGGCAGGACAAAGACAGAAGCAACCTGGAATTAAGGAGAAACTTCCTAACAGTGAGGACAATTAACCAGTGGAACAGCTTGCCTTCTCAGAAATCAAGGGCGCTCGATCATTGGAGGTTTTTAAGAAGAGACTAGACCAGTGGTTCTCAACCTGTGGGTCGGGACCCCATTTGGGGTCGAACGACCATTTCACGGGGATCACCAAACAAGGCTGTCTGCCATTTTTTCCCCCCTTTTCTTTGGCCATGGCCCTGGCACCCGGTGATGTATAAGTGGTTGGGGGTCACCACAACATGGGGAACTGTATTATGGGGTCGCGGCATTAGAAAGGTTGAGAACCACTGGACTAGACAGTCACTTATCTGAAATGGTATAGGTTCTCCTGCCTGAGCAGGGGGTTGGACTAGAAGACCTCCAAGGTCCCTTCCAACTCTGTTATTCTATTCTATTCTATTCTATTCTATTCTATTCTATTCCTTATTCTATTCTACTCTATCTACTCTATCTACTCTACTCTACTCTCCAAAGCACCTGAAGGCAGAACAAGAAGCAATGGCTGGAAACTAATCAAGGAGAGAACTAACCTAGAACTAAGGAGAAATTTCCTGACAGTTAGAAAAATTAATCAGTAGAACTGCTTTGCCTTCAGTAGTTATGGGTGATTCATCACTGGAGGTTTTTAAGAAGAGACTGGACAGCCATTTGTCTGAAATGGTATTGGGCGGGGGCCTTCAAACTTGGTCCTTTTATGACTTGTGGACTTCAACTCCCAGAATTCCTCAGCCAGGGTCTCCTGCTTGAGCACGGGGTTGGACTAGAGAAGATTTCCAAAGTCCCTTCAACTCTGCTAATCTCTTATTCTGACTGTTTGATGCTGCAAGAGAGACCTGGAGATGGGTAATTTCGCAGATGCTGGCATTGCAAAGTTTTTTGTTCCAATTTGGCATTAAATATCCCCATTCCTGTATTCCTTCTCTGACCCTGTTCTGAATCAGTCCCAGATCACTGGCTCCTATCGAACAAAAAGGCACCTCCAACGAAGGTCTGAAAAGTCAAGATGGCAATGGTGGCCACCATCTTGACTTTTTGGATTGCCTCTTCCCTCAGATGCCCCTAATTTCTATAAACTCTAAATTATAAAATCCTTTGAGGCTGCCCTTTCAAGGTGTCATCATAAGGAGAAAAATATAACATTGATTCCAGGTTATCTTAAGACAGGGGTAGGCAACCTCGGCTCTTTTATGACTCATGGACTTCAACTCCCAGAATTCCTGAGTCAGCTAAGACAACGTCAGTCTGTTTCTACTCCTGGGCTGGGAATGACGCAAAAGCAATGTCATGGAGACATAGCTGAAAAAGAAGGATTTATTTTTAAAATTTCCTGCCAGTTTTGTATACATAGACAAAATGCATCAGAGGAAATTTCCATTATGGGAAGTGAGTTCAAAAAAATAGGTGCCTGAAATTGGAGACTGTGAGTTCTAGTCCTGCCTTAGGCATGAAAGACAGCTGGGTGATTTTGAGCCAATCGCTGTCTTTCAACCCAATCCACCTCATAGGGCTGTTGTTGTGGGTAAGATAATAGGAGGAGGAAAGAGTATTAGTTATGTTCACTGCCTTGCGATTTATAAAAATAACAAAGGCGGGATATACATAAATAAGATGGTTGCATAAAAACGTATTTTACTGGGGGAAGTTGTGAACAATACTGCATCTCTGAAATAAGGCTAGGCCAAACGGGGCGATCCAGCCACAGAAATGGGACTAAGAAATAGCATCATGAACCATTTCCTGTTTTGGTGAATAAACTTCTGGAACTGCAGGAATGAACTCCCCGCCCCAGAAACCCTTGGACTGGCACATTATGAAGGATAATCAGACTGTTCCATTGTCAAATTGCCCCATTTTTCTCATCTCTCTGCTAATAAGAAAAATGCAAGCGGAAATGGATATTCCTCTTTTCTATGAAATTTTTAAACATGCTCAAGCTGATAGAGCAGGGGTGTATCAAACTTGCAACGTCACGTGACGTGTTGCGGCATATCGTGACTTTTTTTCGGTTGCCGGCAATAGGATGCGCACAGTTTCGCTATGATGCATCCGGCCGCGGGCCGGCAGTTTGACACCCCTGTGATAGAGAAACAATATGAATCTGATTACAGGTCTGGAAAGAATGAGATAGCAAGCAAAGTCAAAAGGCTTTGCTGTAAACGTGGAATCTTGGCTTCAATGAAAACCATGAAAATCTCAATCTCAGTATGGTTCTCAGGTTGCTGGGTGAGGGGGCATGAAAGGGAAGAAGAAGGATGGATGGATGGATGGATGGATGGATGGATGGATGGAAAGATGGATGGATGAAGAGATGGGCGACTAGATAAGAGATAGATAGATGGCTGAATGGAGAGAGGATGGGTGGATTGATGATAGCACTTAGACTTATATACTGCTTTCACGATGCTTTACAGTCAATCTAAGCAGTTTACAGAGTCAGGCTATTTGCTCCCAACAATCTGGGACCTCATTTTACCAACTGCAGAAGGATCGAAGGCTGAGTCAACCTTTAGCTGCTCAGAATCGACCTCCTGGAGTGAGCAATGAGTTAGCCTGTAGTACTGCATTCTAACCATTGTGCCACCACTGTTTTGATGTGAGAAAATGGGTAGCTGAAGGATGGATGGGTGGATGGATGGATGGATGAAGGGATGGGTGAAGAGATAGAAATAGAGAAGATGGGCAGATTGATGAATGGAGAGACAGATGGGTGAAAAGATGGGTGAAATAAATGATAGAGACAGATAGATAAATAGAGAGAGAGAGAGAGATGATGGATTGATTAATGGATGGAGAGGATGAATGAATAAGGTAGATGATGGATGGATGGATGGAAGGATGGATGGAGAGAGGGACAGATTGATAAATGGATGGTTGGACAGATGGGGACAAATAGATAGATAGATAGATAGATAGATAGATAGATAGATAGATAGATAGATAGATAGATAGATAGATAGATAGTACAGGGCTTTTTTTGTCATAGAACGCTCAGAACGGAGTTCCGGCACCTTTTTTGGATGGAACCTTGTAGGTAGGCAAGGCAGGTGTTATGGTTCCGGCTAATGAAACACTTCAAAGAACTTCCAGGTATTGATTTCCCTAAAAGTCTTTTATTGATTCAAAATGTCGGCACAGGCATAACGGGGTCTATGCTAAGATCTAAGTTCTCTTCCTCTGAGCAGTTAAATTATCAGCATGTTCCTTCACTAAATTACCTGTCATATATCACATTATCCAATTAGTGTGAAGGTCAAAGTTTTCCTTCCTCTTTCTTTCCCGGGCTGTACCCCCACCCTCTTCTGCTCTGTATTAACCCCCAAAATACCAGACAGTTCTGCGTATCGTCAAAGCAAGAATATACAGTATTGCAGTGTTGACAGCAGGTTGCATAATATGTGTGAGTTCCCGCAACTTTTTTTTTTCAAAAAAAGCACTGGATAGATAGATAGATGGACAGAGACAGACAGAGGATGGGCCATACTGGATGGATTGATGGATGGATGGATGGACCAATGGGTGAAGAGATAGGGAGATGTTAGATAGATAAATGAGAGAGGGGAAGGGAAAGAGAGAGAGAAAGAGATGCTGCCTATAGAAGGGTAGCTGGTGTAATGGACTACAATGAAGAGGCAAATTCCTAGGCAGGAGGGAGCACAATCCAGAAAGGTGTCAATACAAGGCAGCACAGCCTGCAACTGCCTAGACCAGGGGTAGGCAACCTCGGCTCTTTTATGACTCATGGACTGACAAGTTGAAGTCCATGAGTCATAAAAGAGCCGAGATTGCCTACCCCTGGCCTAGACGTCAGAGGAAAAAAATTAGGATAGCTTCTCCCTAGACTCTATATTCACTAGGGTGAGAGTAGGAAACGTTTAGTCTGCCAAGAATTTGTCTGTTGTATGTAAGCAAGTAAAGACCTGAACATTGCCTGGATTGCTCTATTTCATTCTTGAGCTTTGCCTGACATGGATGACTGATGAGAGGATGGGCAGATTGATGAATGGATGGATAGACAGACAGATGGACGGATGGATGGGTGGTTGGATAATGGGTGTATTTATAAATGGATGGTTTGGTAGACAGGTAGAGTAGTGGAGATAAATGGATTGATGGATAGATAGATTGATGTTCGGTAGATAGGAAATTAATAAAAGATGTTAAGAATATATTGATATATAATGCAAAACAAGGCAAAACACAGCTCTATTAGATTTGTTTGTGGTGTTATCTTGGTCCCACTCAAAAGGAAGAACTTCCCTGCTTAGTGTTCTGTTGTGTGGATGTTTTGTGTCGTCATTTGGTGAACAGATGAGTATCTTGTGACAGCCATTTTGTGAGTGTGCCCATCACATTCTCTCAGAATTCAAAGGCATCTTTGGTTCAAAACAGGGCTACAATTATTTTAAGGTGACTAAGAAGTAAAGTCAAAGTTATGTTTATAAGATGGCAAGGAAATTATATCAAAACATAATGGAAGGATCTCCTCAAGAGACCAGGCCATGGTTAGGCCTTTTTTAAAGAAGGGACTAAATAGGATTTAGCATCTAAAGAAGATTTCCTGAAAGCCTGTGAAGACTAGCGTTTGTTTTCTC